GTTTTTCTGGTTTAAACAGTGTCGTAGATAACACACTCGTTCCTTGCCATTGCAGTGTTGTTGTTTTTCTGGTTTAAACAGTGTCGTAGATAACACACTCGTTCCTTGCCATTGCAGTGTTGTTGTTTTTCTTGTTTAAATAGTGTCGTAGATAACACACTCGTTCCTTGCCATTGTAGTGTTGTTGTTTTTCTTGTTTAAACAGTGTCGTATATAACACACTCGTTCCTTGCCATTGCAGCGTTGTTGTTTTTCTTGTTTAAACAGTGTCGTATATAACACACTCGTTCCTTGCCATTGCAGTGTTGTTGTTTTTCTTGTTTAAACAGTGTCGTATATAACACACTCGTTCCTTGCCATTGTAGTGTTGTTGTTTTTCTTCTTTAAACAGTGTCGTATATAACATACTCGTTCCTTGCCATTGCAGTGTTGTTGTTTTTCTTGTTTAAACAGTGTCGTATATAACATTCTCGTTCCTTGCCATTGCAGTGTTGTTGTTTTTCTTCTTTAAACAGTGTCGTATAAAACATACTCGTTCCTTGCCATTGCAGTGTTGTTGTGTTTGTCATTTTACCTTCAAATTGCTGACTTGTGTATATACCGTTCACTACCAGTAGGATCCGCATATTGCATCGTATTGAAGAGTTTAATGTTTTGCCTGGTATCCCTGATTGTAATGAAGTAACAAACATTTGAGCGAAATCACTCAATTTCTATGTAAAGTACATAGAAAACGTCAGCTGTAATTAGTGAGATTATGGGTGTTATCTTTGTTTATCATATTTTGTTAGTGACCGTGCAACCAACTATGACATGGACCCACAAGCCATATAGTGCATTAATAGTTCTGCAAGTTATTTATCAAAAATCTATGTCACTTCTGAAAGGGCGTTAACTTAAATCAGGCCCTAAACCAGTGTGGTTTGATGGTTAACTTAAAGCCAGTTTAAGATTTGAATCCGATCTCTGCCAGTTTACTTTTTATAGACATTTTGACAAATATATGTATAAAATTTATTGACTGTGTCAAATAAAATATATATTTTTTTAAATACTCTTTGACTTCAAATATTTTGATAAAGTTTATAAAAACAACCTTTACACAACCAGATAAATATAAAAGAATATATTTTTATTTCAACCAACGTTTCGCTTTTGCGGCTTCATCTAGGTTAATATACACAACTTTAAATAACTGGGTAAAAAGCCATAAAACCAAAACAGTCAGTCAGAAAATAAATAATCACAAATTACACAATTGTTAATAAGCTTAAAATGGCTGGTAGAAATAGGAAAATTTATATCTTTGACCTCCGACCTAGGTATTTGAGCTTGGAGGTCAAAACCATGATTTTTCCCAAGAGCACACTTTCTCCGCGAAAACACCGTATGGGGAAAAATTCAGGATTCGGATTTAGAACATAAAAATTCACCAATGAAACATCATTCCAGACATTTTTAGGTCTGACAGTTCCCGTGTTTGTGGAACATATTTTATAGGTGAATGATTATAAAAACACCCATGATATGATCAAACTTATGGACAAAACTACAGGATTGTTCTAAAGAAAACTATATATATTTGAAATATCACTAATATGACC